CTACAATTTAAGATTGTGATCGATTACGCTCCAATTTAGTTGTATTCCCGTCGTATCGACTGTAGGTCACAAGCTTGTTAGCTGTTCGTTATAGTAGTTGTTTTTTCCTTTTTCTTTGAATTCGCCCAAAATAATACGTAAAATAAATAATATTATTAATGATAGGGGATGTTTTGATCTAGAATACACCCCCGCACGGTAACCCAATGATTCTACAAAAATAAAATTCGCGTTTTATCACTGCGAGTCAGCTTTTTCTCTGAATTTTTAGAAAAACCGTTAGGAATATTGTAAAAAACGTTTAAACAAAGTACCAACGATCGAAAAATCAGCATTTCTTTAAGTAGGTTCAGTGTGAAAAATTCGAAGCATTTAAGCTAACGGAAAATATTATATTCCGAGAAAAAAATAATGCAATTTAATAAAACGAATAGCCTCTTGACTACACTCGAAACTTTTAGGACTTTCACGAAAAAATAGCGTTCGACTAAATTCATCATACTACAATAATAATCAATATCGTCGCGGGTTATAAAACGGTACGATTTGAGCGATTTCATTGAGAATAATATATTATCTGCAGTACATAAATGTTTTCAATATACGTTGCACGATATAAATTAATATTGGCCGGAAATCCAAGATCAAATAATACCTCGCAATATCGGTAAATTATCGGTTTAATAATATTATCGTTATTAACTTAGCGACTAAAACGTAATATCCTCTTTGGAACGGAGAATATTACTATACAAAATGACTATCGAAAATCAATATATCGGAGACGCCCAAATAAGTAAAATTTTTATTACGTTTTCTTTTTACTTTTTTGTAGATTACTGTATTCGTAGTCAGGAATGCGAGAGAAATGTGTCGGTTCTACTATGTGTTCTACTACGATTTTTCCTTTTTTTTGTCAATTTTTCGTTGAGAAATCTTGCTTCAGTCGAAAACGCACGTAAGAGTTTTGTAGTACTTCGGATCATGTAAAAACCGATAAATGACGTTTTTTGACATACAGAGTAATTTTCAAAATAATCGTAAACGCTAAGGCACAAGATAGAAAAACGGATAACTTTACGACCTTAACGGTTTAATTATTTTCGATTTTGGTTTTAGATTCCGAACGTATCGAGAGAGCTATTGGTTTTACAGTGGTTTTTATTATTATTTTTTTCTTTGTTCTAGACTGCGGACACGTATTTTCCTAGTAAACTTGCTCCGATGTATAAATGTAGCACTTTTTACGAAAGCTCAAATCGTCTAGATGGTACATTAAAGAAGACATTTTTTATTTTTGTTTTTCAGTTAAAACTATACTAAGAAAACTAAAGGTCAATTTAAACTAGAGCTAAAGTTAAAGTCAATTATTTTTATTGTTAACTTATTATAACATTTACTAGTATTAGTTTAAGTTTTCGGCAAACGAACTTAACTTTTCAAAGTTTATTTTTATAAACATTCAGTTAACTTAATTTATCGAAGGCTAATTGAACATCGAACTTCAATTGTCATTGGCTCTGGTCAGTACTACGATTGAGGCCTGACGCACAACAAAACAACGTTTTTCGTCAACGCGATGTACGTAGATATGCATCGTATTCCCTTCCGTAATATCCCACGTACCCGACTTCTCGCCTATACCGGCACGCCCGGCGTGCGAAACGTGCCCGGTCTTTTCGAAAAATGAATTTTCTAGGTCGCCTAGGTAACACGCGGAACGGGTAAGAGGGGACGGGCGGTTGAAATACTTTCGGATAGTTGTCAGGCCCGGTTAATGAACGGCCTAAAACCGGCCGTTCGGTTTTTCGTTTTTCGCAATACGCGCTTACTGACGCGTTATTCGAACACCGTAGGCCGATATCTCGCGGAGAGATATTATTTATCGCTCTCCGCTCGCCGACGTCGCGTTCCGTTTTGATTCCCGGCCAAAATCCCCTCGGCGCGGCCGAACGATATTTTAATATTATTGTGTAACGACAATGTAATGTACGCGTCTCCTCGGGAATATTATAATGTAATGTATCGTTATTTTACAATATTATTATTGTTATTATGTGTAACGCGGTATATTAATAGAAACAACAAAAAGGCAGGGCCGGATGGGTGGTGGTGGTGGTGGTGGTGGTGGCGGTGTCGGCGGTGGTCGGGACCGAAAACTGGGAGAGCAAAGGAAATATCGGAAAAAAATAAATAAAGGGAGGACGCTAACAGCCGGATTCTCCGCGGCGGCGTGCGGCGGCGCGGCCGGGCGATCGTGGCGGTCCGGCGGCGGGTCGTTAGTGAAATTTTATGGCGGCGCCGCCGTAACGCGCGTCCGTTCTTGTATTGTTATTTTCTATTCGATGTTACGGCCGGCGGCCCGGGTCGAGAGCATCGCGCGATTCGCGCGAACACGCCGATACCGTCGGTATTTATTATAAACGAAAATATACACGGGAAAACGAATAACATTTTTCCGCGCCCGCGACCGCCAACAACGTTGCGGCCGTGTCGGGACACCGCGACCGCCGCCACGCGGTGTGGTTTTGTCGTGCTGCGCGTGCATGGCGGTGAGAGCATATCTACGCAGACTACGGCGTTATAGAAGAAACGCCACGACACAGAGGTACCCGACCGACGATCCGGTCGCCCCGGTATAGACGGGCCGAGAGCGTACGAGATAGACAAGCCGATATTCTGATATTGTGACGGCGGCGCCGGAACTCGACGTTATTCGGAGGAGGACGATGTGAAGAAGAAGAAGAAAAAAAAAAAAACGGTCCTAGGATAACGGGTACGGGCGCGGCCACTACGGTTGTTCGGCAGTTGGGGAGGTAGGATAAAGACGGGAATTCAATGTGTATCTGTACGCAACGAATATAAACCATTGATGACGGAAAAAAAAAAAACCCAACGGAGTTAGGTTGACAGTGTTGTTTCGTCAACGATATACTGTAATATGTCATGTTCTGGTGAAATAATTATGTACGCGTTGAACGTTTTCATTAATAATACTTGTTTACGGGTTTGTACTTATTTTTCCGTTTTTCCCATCTATTCGGAAAAATCCTGAGAAAATCAAAAACTAACGTTCTTTAAGTACCGCGCCGGTCAGATTTCCGGTAGAAAATTTCTTCGCAGATAAGAAAACAAAACCAATACATTTCTTGTTCCACTCAGAATCTATAAAAAACCATTTTTATATCAAGACGGGCGATAAGAGTAGATGGGCAATACGAGAACAGTGTGTTATGCGTGAATTCATTCGGTAAATTATTTATGATAATTTTAGCACGTCAACGAAACAGAACGCGAAAACACTAAAAATTAATACATTTATATTTCATCGGATTCGGTTTTTATTTCATACGAGGCCACACGAAATTAATATTTTTTCCTCCAAACCCTGTTACTCCTAGTAACTACTCTTGTTCCATATCGTTCTCATACTGTTTTTGTGCAAAGCGCGGTAGTATGGAACGCCCAATCCATTTATAAATCGGGTCAATGGGCGCACGCCCTCCTAGATATAAGGTTAGTGACTCCGGAAATCATATTGTTGGGAAAATGTGTTTTTCTTAGTTTTCAGCATTTAGATTATCGTATTTTAAACGATTTTGTAGATAGTGCCAAAATGGTAAACTTTGACGTCATCGATTATCTAATCTAAAAGTATTCTTGATATATAGAAATATTTCTTCGAAAATATATTCAAATATTTAATTTGTATCTATGAACCATCAGGTTAAAATAACTATAATAATAAACATAATGATATTGGAATGAATTAGGTATCTGAACTAGATATACGTATAAGTGCATAAAAAGAAAACGGAAAGAGGAAAGTTATTTGTGTCAAGCAGAATTTTTTTTTTTTAACAACAGTAAAGTCTAAATTACTGTAGTACATTCGATTTTACATTTGCGTTCCTAATCAATCGAATAGGTGCCTAACCTAACGGCATCCCCATTATTTTGAATAATTGTTTTCAAACATATCCGGTACGGATTTTGTGGTTTAACGGAAACTTGAACTTAAACTAAGAACATACGTTCTTATTATTAATTATAATTAATAAATATTCAAAAATCTGTTAAAAACTCATACGGACAATGTGGTTGGGAAATCAATTTACTAAGAAACTGCTCATAAAATAATTTCTGTTAGATATGTGTATTAATTATCTAGTAAATAGTGACTGCAATTTAAAAATTTTATTTTTGAGACATTTCTAGGGGTTTTTGTTTTTTTTTTTTCACATTAAAACAAAATAATAATAATAATAATTCATCATTTAATACGTTAAAACTTATTTTTTATTATTATTATTATTATTTTTTTTTTTTTTTAAAATGTCGCGTTTATTGATCGTTAAATATGGCATAACCTATACTGAAAACAGGATTTTTGTCAAATAACCGAAACGGACATATAAGTGTAGTAAATATTTTCCGAATACTATTTTAATATTGTTCGAACATTTCTGTCGGCAATTATCTAAACTTACAGTAAGTGTCGCTACTGCTAATATACCTATCTACGTACAGTTCATTTAACCGAGATCTTATCGTCCCACTTTGCTTAATCAAATTATTATTATAATAATGGCGCTACCTGAACGGATTGTTTACAAAGTTCGCACGAAACTACCACCGCCGACACCGCCCCAAGACATTATATTATTATAACCGAGATTAATTAAATACACAGATAACGATTCGTGCGGTTATAAAATTACGGTTTCGCATATTGGCCTCTCCTCCGTTCCCATGCAGTCATACCTATACGGTAATCATGTTACGGAAGCGATAAAAACAATCTAGTTGACATATTGTACTTCTATTATTATTTTGTACGCACATTATATATGTCTAAAGTAATATTGTAAAGTGAAAGAACTTGTTTAGTTTTTCGTTCGAAAGCGCTAAAATTTTTAACTCTTATTCGGATTTTGAAAAATTATTTTCGCATTTGATAACTCTATTCTTGAGGAAGGATATAGGATATTTATAAAACGGTACGATCCTTATGAGTTAAGATAACGCGTAAAAAGTACAAAAAAAAATTTGTTTTTCGTTTTATTTTATACTGTCGTATCTATTAAAATTTATGTAATAAAATTAGATTTTTTTTTTTTTTTTTTTTTTTTTGTAGATTAGTACTGAGCAAGTAGGTACCAAAGTTACAGTTGGTTTATTATTTCGTTTGTTTCGGTAGATTGGTAATATTAGTCTTTTGATATACAACGACGTTGTTGTTTTACTGTTTGGATTGTTTTTTTTAAATCCAAATTCCGCGAACAAAATCACAGGTTTCTCGGCACTCTGCAACATCAATGAGACTGAGACCATTGTGCGACAATGAAACGAAATATGAGCGTATGAATAGATCGGGCAGTTAGCGTAACATCACTGAATAAAAACCGGCTTAGGGAATCAAGCATTGCATGTTTACAGCGTTTAATCAAACTACAAGTGAAGTAAAATGTTATTAGAGCACGTAGGCGAACCAACCTATTAAATTCGGTATTTGCATACGACTATAATGCAGATTATCTCGGGATAAACGACGTAGACACTGGCAGAATGAATAATATTTGCAAAATCTAATTTTTGCGCATTTTCGCGTGGTAACGGAAGCGGATTCGTAGGAAAGACTGAGAGAGATCCATTGGACGCCCCAATATAAAATGAGAACATTTGATAAGAAGAGACGTAGAATTAACAGGATCGGAATCAGAATGGAAAGAAAGAGCAGCTGACAGTATGCATTGTGGAATAATTATGTCAGAAGGTTAGGTTAGGAGTTGGTCCCAGTGGCCGAAGATTCTAAGAATAAATAGTACTTATCGTATAATATTGTGTTGAAAGTTTTCACCGTGAGTATAATAATATAAACAACAGAGAAATTGTTGATTTTCGCTATCGCCGTGTTCCATCCTCAGCCGAGTGGAATCAGACAGGGATCAAAATGCCGAGGAAAATAAAAACTGGGAAAACGATTTTTTTCTTCGTACCGAAACCAATTAAAAAGTTAAAGAATTCCTAATTAATTAATGTTGAAAAATACAAGTTTTCGGAAAATTAAAAAAAATTACTTGGAAAAACTGTTCTAGTGTAATTGTAAATAAACACAATGATTTAAATATTTTAACTTGTTGGAAATGACACTACTTATTTATTTTACCTGACCTGAAAATATCGTTAAATGTCCGCAACAGTCTGATGATATTAAAATTACTCGGAAATTATGTGGTACACGTGTTTTATTTTTTTTTCACATTTATTCCAGCCACGGTTCCCGAATATTCCGATAATTTAATTTTCTCTGCGATTTCCGTTTGCTTGTTGTATATTCGTATTTAATTTTAACTTTTAACCTTATATCATTATTTTTTCCAGACATGTTGTTTTTAAAAAGTTTCAAGAGTAATTTCCCCGGTATTTAAGGTTTTTTATTTTTCAGTGAAACAAAAAAAAAAAAACGTCGGTGTTTGTTGTTTTGCACATTTCTTTTACCACTGCCGCCAATTCGAGCAGTGGCCGTTACGAAATCAGAATACGTGTATACATAATTAAATGCATATTATAGAGAGAGAGAAACGACGTTAAATAAATAAATAGATAAGGCGAGCTGCTCACTGCGTGCGCTGCCAATAGACACAGCACGCTTAATCATTACACACACACATACATGCATACAAAGGGACAATGCGAGATTTACAGTTATTGTTGATGGTATACAGTGGTGTATAATAGCGAGGATTGTTCGGTGAACTTAAATTCGACAACAAGTTATTTCCACAAAATATCCGTATAATAAGACCAAGAGAGAATAACATACTTTGCTATGCGTACTTATGGTAATTTGTTATTCATAATAAGTCTTTCAAACCAGAAAGACATATTTCGACGAGGTCCTCCATAGCGAGGTTGTGTGATCGGAAGAACGACTACGAATTCAGAGTCTGCACCCCGCGCTCCGAACCAAAGTCCAGACACTTTCCGATTTGCGACGTCATATTGTTGTCGAAGCCACTGGACACACGGTTCATAGTTGTTTTTCTTTTTTTCATTTATTGCGACGTCCAGCTGCGGGCCATTCCGGTTCCCAGCGAATCGTCGGGTCAACAACGAGACCGCGGCTTTTGCTCCTATCTATCTTATGACGATGTCAGTACGGCGGTTTCGGTGCGTTATTATCTTCCATCGGTAAACTTACTGGACTTTCTCGAACATTTTTTTTTTTAGCGATAAAGATCGGCTATAGTGGTACGGACCCGATGGTGAGACGAATAGGTATCCGGAAATAATTGAAAAGGACGAATTCACGACGTTGTCGGCCGACAATTATTTTTAAATTCTTTTTCGAAAACGTTATAATCGCGGGTATAAAGTGTACGAATAGCGATTTCGTTTTAAATGTCTTTATTGAATTTTCGCGAACAAAAAAAATACCTGTATAGTTTAATATAATACAATATTATATTGTGTTCGTCAAACACACACAAAAAAAAAAAAAAAAAAACACGCCTACACCCACTATTCTACGCTTTCCGGAAACACGATTTCTATTTTCTGTACGTTTCTATGCGGGCTACAATATTATTATTATTTTTTACGTACGAAAATGATTGAAACCTAATTTCATTGTCGTGGCCGTTACATAAAAAAATTGTTCTAATCGAATAATAATATACGTCAATAATATTTTACAAACGACATGTTTGAAAACGATATTGTGTTGTATTATTGATGGGCCGTAAAACTTGTCGCAGTGATTTCGATAATTCTGATAATAGTAACGTAATAATATTACTATTATGGCCGTCCGTATCGTATTTTCTAATCATCCCCGGCACGCGAGACATTCGGGGGATTTTATGTTTCAACCGCAATGTAGAAACCGACTATTGCAGATATCCGGTTGCGTAGGTTTGTGTGTAGCGGACCCGTGCGTGGGTAGGGGTTGGGCGTTTAAACCCATCATACTGTTTTGTTTTTTTTTTTTTTTTTTTTGCGTCGAAGTCACCGACAGTTAGGTATTGGTCTCGTCGAATTAAAAGCAAGGTGTAATGCGCGGTCGTTAAATTACAATCGATGTTTTTTACTTTTGATCCTAAAACTGATGTACATATTTTTACGTTTTTTTTTTTTTGCTTTTCGTAACCGCCATGAAGAAATCTGACGCACGAGTTCGGTCCAGCGGTATTTGTATTTGTTCTAAGTGAACTCTAACTGTGTTGATTAATCAATGTTTACTCATTGTGCGATAATGTGAAATATATTTGAAATCGGTCACGAATTTCGCCTGAACTATCATCACATAATTAATGAAACAAATATTCCACCGAATAATCGATACAATTTGTCCTCTCGGTATAATTTAATAATGGCTGCCAAATTCTATTCACACGATTATTTGTCCGTTTGCTTTGAGTTTATTCTATAGTTGTCGAATAAAAATGGCCGCGAAAAATATCTTCATGTATAAAATGGCCGGGGTGAAATACAGCCGTGGAAAAAATTGGACGTTGAACAAATATATTCAATATATGCGTTTCAAATACATTTGTTCGTTTGGTAATTATTGCGTTTGGCCATATTTTCCTCAGACTCCATATTTCCATAACTATTTTAGGGATGCGGTTTGGTATTTGAGCTTTATCAGACATACCTGAGACGAATTTTGACGTAATTCAAGGTACAATAGGTTACGGTTTACATTATATTATTCGACTTCAGACTGTTTGATGACATACGCGTCGTCGTTAAAAAAAATCCCCGAAAATTATTGTAGACGTACACGTATAGAATTACAGAATTTATAATGTGCCCGTATAAATACCTGTAAAGGTAAAAAAAAAAAAAGAAGCCCCAGAGCTTTCATCAATTATTTAAAATATTAGCAACGACTGGCACGTATATTTTTAAATATTTATAATTAATCACTGTTAAGTTCATATAACGTAGCAAATTTATTCTTAACGGATTAAAAATTCTCCAGATTTACAGTCATCCGTGTGATTAATTATTATCCCTCCCGCGAATAAGCGAATATGATATAGTTAATAATTATTAAAATACGGTATAAATATGATTAATTTTCCTACATTTTTAACGTATTTTTAAGTCAATTCCAGATTTGTGTTCACGGTACTTAAAAATGCAAATAATACGCATTTTTTTTTTCTTTTCTGTAGTAATGGGTATTTACAGTTTTTGAAAATATTTCATAGAATGGTTTTCGAAAGGTTTTCGTTGTACATTATTATTTTTCTAGAGTATACCTAGGAGTGCGAAAAATTGTAAAATGTCCACCGTATTATATCATTGTACTCGAATATAGACCGACTACTTATCGTGTGTTACTATAAATATCAATTATAATGAATAGTAATAAACAAGTTGCTATAACGCGGGTTGACTATAGGAGGACCCTTAAGCCGGGCGTTTTTTTTTTTATATTCAAAAACAAAGATAAATCGTTGAGTCTGAAAAAAAAAACAGTCTTAGCAAATTTAATTATAACGAGTTTTTTTTTTTACCACGCTGAACAATTTTTGAACGTGGGTTGTGCGTCCACAGTCTTTATACACTATGATTATTGTATGTCTTGATAACAAGGTATAACTTTGTGTTGAATTTTTAGGTTTTTAAAATAAAAAAATAATAATAATAACATTCTCAGTACTTGAATAAAATACTATTTTTGATGTTTCAGTTCAAACTTATACATATTATTCAAATACTCTTGAGAAAAAAATAATAACACATGTATTTCGTAGTCATGAAATATTGTTAAGAACGAATAGTGGATCAATATAATATACCTATGTGTTATAAATTTTGAAAATCGCAATGATGATAAAATATTTCGTTTAAGTGTAGAAATAATTATTTAGTGTAAGGATAGTAGCAAGTGCCGATACGTTGCGTTATTCCCCGAAGTATTGCATTTATAAAAAAAAAGCTGAAAAGAGATTAAAATACACGATCGGTGTGGCCCGTGACAAACGTGTGCAGTGGTTACAAAAAAAATCACGACTGTAATAAAAAAAAGAATTTCCACTTTTGCTTCTTAAGGTACTCTGAAACAATTTCACAGCTTACTAAGTTGTCTCTAGGTCCAATGATACGCAGAATTGGCTATAAAGCTATAAGTCATGAACACTGATTACATATATGTATATTACCGATTGTAAAAACAATAACCGATCAAATAATATAGTATAAGGATTTAAATTAACCTGTAGATGGCGCTGATGTCGTTTATCGTAATTAGGCGCTCTTATTTTATTCGTCAAAATCACGTTATGCTTTTCCTTTTTATGATTTAAAATGTTGATTCAGGCATCGTTAGACAATATACTAGCTCGCATGCGCAGTACGTTGCACCATAATATTAAGACCGGATATCACAGGGTTTGGAGCTGTCTCTGTGTTCTCTACGTAAGAAGCACTAGGTGTATGGGTACCTCCCAATAATTGAGTACAATAATGCGCATAGTGCATAGATACAGTGTAGACCCTTCGGATTAACATTCCACTAGGGACCGTCAAAAGAAAATTCATGGCAGACTCTGAAGTGGCGATGACGAGAGGTAAGACGGTATCAATTTTTCCTATCGAGGTCACACATTGAAAAATCATAAGTTTTATCAGTGTAAAAATTAAATTACACGTTTAAATATGTTTTGTTTCGTCAAGTATTTGAAATAATTCCGTGTATAATCTGATGTACGAAATCACACATAGCACAACATATTATTACTGTTAGTTTATCGGATTAACCTAAATATGCAAAAAAAAAAAAAAAAAAAAAAAAAAAATATAATCTTTGCGTGCACTTACACGGACGATGCCACGAGGAGGCAATAAACGTGGTTCGTTTGCAATAAAACGCGAGGATAAAAGTAAATACAATAGCAGGGAACTCGCGTGTTTTGTTCAGTTTTATTCTGCGAGGAAGACGACGACATTATTGGTTCGACAAAAACTATTTATAATTCAGTACATTATGGTAATGTCATTAATATAATTTTCTTTTCTTAAATATGTCACTTTACAAACACAATATCGTAGGAAACAAAAAAAAATACATTAAATTAATTTCTGATAAATCATAGTAAAAATATTAATCCAAGTACTAAAACTTAACGGGCGAATAGAGTCAGTGCCATCAAAACACGGCGCAAGGGTTTTCAACGTTCATTACTCGACTACAAAACATGTTTTCACCAATTATAGGTGTTAATCTTTCAATAAAATATGATTATAAAATATAAAAACAAAAACAATTAAAAAATTATCGATTTTGACAATTTAAAAACTATGATTATCGATTCATTTCCTCGTTCAAAGGATTGTAACTCAATGTTACGTCCCCAAATTCCGATCCGGCAGTTAATTACACAAGCAAGACTACGATTTAGGTCATCTGGCCTACGTTCTAGTCTATAGCCTAAATTTACTACACAAACCCAAACAAAAAATCCGAAAATGTACTGTAGAAAAAATACAAACATAATTCGCAAAATGAAAAGTCCACTGTTTTAAGTGGAAAGTTGCGAAAGTAGGATATGGAGAGGGATATATTGTATACCTGTACTTAACGATAAACCTTTATTAACGTCAAGTGATTCGTTGCGATGTTTATTTGATACATTCACTCATATTTTCCCAATTTATCATATGGTTTATTCCAATTATTATAAAAACCGCTTGGAAAATTTGAAAATGACAAAAAAAAAAAAAGATACTAAGAAGAAAAAATTCCCTTTCGCAATTGAAAATCTGATCAAGTTTTCTGATAAAACATGTTGTTTACATATAAAAGAAAATAAACTTCTTCGTAAAATTAATACATTCCTCGCTATGCTCCGAAACTAAAATAATCCTCGGTCTCGATGGTGCAAACACGTTTAGGTGATATCATCCGATTGCCTACCACGAGACAAATAATTGTTAATTATGATAACAATATGAATTTACTAAATTGTTAATTATAGATGGATTGTATAAAAATTTTTCTTAACAGTTGTGTTGATTTTGTAAACAATCGAATAAAATAAATTGAACGAAATTAACAATACAAGGCCGAAGCTATTCTAAATTTCCACGTTCGCCTACGATCACAATCTGTAGCGGTACAAGGCGATGAAGATGGTTTATGAATTTTATTTCTGTAAATTATACTATACGACCCGTATACACGACGAACAAAATAACATTAATAAATAACACAAAGATGACATCATTCGTTTTTTTTTTTTCTTTTTGCTACTACATTATAAAATAAGAATACAACGTTCTATACATACATAGATCGATCTGAAATGCACGTTTATAATATATAAGTATATCATTCTTTAAAAAAAAAAAAAAAAAAAAAAAAAAAAAAAAAACAAATAACTAATAAACTTTTTAACAATAGTATTCATATTCGAAAATATTGTAGGTATCTTTTCTTGTCCGATATTTTCAGTTGCAATTAATAATAATTTATAATAATAGATTAAATACCTGCCGGCGATGTGTTTCAATTTAAATCGTTAAAAACGACCCGTTTGAAACGCCTAAAAATATTTAAAACGTTTTCTATTTTGAGCTACGCGAGAAGCTTATAGTTTTTACAACGCGTTATTAATTTTCTTTTCTATAAACACTTTTTTTTCGGGTGGGAATATTTCGATTTTTTCACAGAGCAAATTTTATTTTCGAGTTTATGTGATTATTTTTAGGTAAATGATGGTTTATATGACCAATTGTAGAAAGTTTGCTCAATACTTCAATACTGCTGAACTAGGTTTACAAACAGTCTAAAACTGTTTAAGATATGTTTTTTTTTTTTTTTTTTTTATCAACTATATCAATAGATATTATGAGAATTATAACATCATCGTGTTCTTCCTTGACTATAGGGTTAAACTAAGAAATTTCTGCAGGATTTCCTACCACGTGAGAGTTTATAAAATATTCGATTCAGAATATGGTGTGACGACGAGACAGCGAAGTCTCAAATAAGTAAAATTAAATTCGAAACTAAAAGCAGGTCATCATCTTTTGTTGTCAATTAGCGCGTGACACCTGACGTTGAGCACCAAAGTTTTTGTTTTGGATTTAAACAGTAAGTACAAAATCGTATACGTTAGTTTTAATGCAGTATAAATAATTAAGAGACCAGTATTATATACGAGTGGAAGCTGTGTATACATTGATATTTTAGTAGGTCTGTTGCTTTTCGTGCACCAAAAAACCTTTAAAATAATGATTAAAATAAAAATACACCTAACCACAACGGTGTTTTGAAATTCGTTCGATTTTTCGTTACATTTGGGTACAATTTGTAGATTTTGAATGCAGCGATAAAGGTTTATTGGTTATGGTATGACGTGTTCTTTATGTGTAATATTTTTTTTCTGTAAACAAATGTTTAACCAGAAATATTGCTCCGATTTTCAAGTGCAGCATCATTTCCAGAAGAAATTATTTTCTAAGATTGGGAGGTCTTAATAATACGTTGGTCTTTTTTAGAATTGATAGAAATCGTAATTTGTTTTGTATATTTTGTCCTTGAACTAGTTGTTTCATTGTTGTCTACTACGTATTTTTCTCTTGCGTATTTTCTATGCTACAGTAAATATCCTATAATTTTGTCCTTCCCAAATTTAACACTATGCCAAAGTTCTCGTTTTATTCTGTTTAGTAGGTACTGAAGAGTACTAAAAGTAGGTTACTTCGTAGTTTATTTATATTTCTTTTCATTGAATCTTCGACGGACATTTTACGATATTCGGTACCACGTTTCAATAGGATTTAATTTACGTTTATCGTCTATATCACATTGCCCAAGTTTCACAACCACATTGGGCCACACTGTGCAAATAAACCTTTAAGAACTTTTCCTTGTCTAAAAGGTTACACGGTTTTTTTTTTTAAATTATACAAGACGTTAAAAAGAGAAAAATAATCTTTTTTATTTAGGTAGGTGCTTACAAGTAATAATAATAATAATAATAATAAAATAATAACTATAAAAAAAAACAATTGGCATTAAAGTAAGAAAAAAAAAAAAGACGGATATACTTCGCACGTGGTTGAAGTCACTGTTTTACTTTGGGTAGGAAGTTGAGAAGTTAGGATACAGACGGGAAGAGTTCTAAATGGTGTTCAGTTGATAGTTTTAATTTGTCAGTAATATATAGGTCATATTTTAGTAAGATAATTACATATGCATTGAATATTTACTTTAATCATATTTGTTTAGTATTGTACCCCTTTCTTGTTTTTTCGTTCTTCCGTTTTTTCTCCACTTTATCTGGCTTTTAAATTATATTGAGAAAAATGCTTGAGTAAATCAAAAAAATCACCTTCGTAAACTATTGCCCTAGGCAGATTTAATATCAAAAAAATCGCTACACTTAAAAATCGGAGCTATATTGATGTTATAAAACTTATTCATAGATAAAAAAAATATAAAAAAAAAAGAAATAAACATCATTGTAAAACCAATATCTCCATTACTCCAATCAGAATCTAAAAGTGATGTTGTTAGAGAATATTTAACACTTGCTGAACAAGTAACGTACCGTAAAATGCAATAAAAAAAACAAATTGTAAAAATATGTCCTAAAATGCAGGTAAATAAAAAATTTTCAAAATTCAGCTTCCTGGTATGCTATAATTGAAATAATTTGTGCTAATGAAGCTTTCAAAAACTTTCAAAAATTTCAAAACATCGTTTTAAAACAACATTTCAAACGTCAAGTCGATTTTTAATATTAAAACGACCGTTAATACGAATTGAAATTAGCATTTTATTTTCATTTATTTCGTCCAAAAACTAAACGCGAACCCATATGACAAATTAATTATACAAAATAACGTCCGTATATTGGTATAGGTACATATCCGCGGTGGGTGGCTATACCGTTAGGATAATATGGTAATGCGAAACACTAATAATTATCAAAACTACACACGTTCGGTTTAATTTTTATTCGTTCGTTGCTGAATCGTTTTATTTATTTTTTTCTATTAACCAATCAGGACGAAACCGGGAGGACATGAGATGGGTATGAAAAGGCTGCGCCAGGAATCCTTGACCGGGGGTCCGTCGATCTCTAGAGAGTCGACAGACGGGGGTCTGCTTAGTGAGTATGAGTTTTTCTTTCGAATTACCCAAATATAAATATCCGTATTTTCTTCATCAGTCACCAATAAAACAAAACCACGAAACCGAATAAACAACAAAAATATTAATATGCATATTACTCTATCCAATACACGGAATTAAAAGCAATAGCATAGGTGGGCAATCAAAACTTTCAATTAAATTCAAAACATTTACACCAATAGCAGACGTAACACTGAAAAATAAAAAAAACAAAAAATACACCGGTGTGTTAGCACATTTTAGATAATAAAATCATGACTAATCACAGCAATGAACGAATTATGTATAATACTGAAAAACTCAGTCTAAATATTGTCATTGAAAAAAAATATTTAAGATT